ATTCTGACAGTTTAAGCAAAAAATTTGTTAACAAACTTGCTGACCAAACCAAGAAATCTGCTACAAATTGTAGTAGTTTTACTGTTGGAATTTTAAATAATTTAATTATTTTGAGTCGTCTTCACACCTCTGTAAATAAACTCCATTGATAATGACCTCCTTTTATAAAGTGATATAGGGCATTCATTGGTTCTGCATTTCTTCATGCCAGCTACAAAATCTTAATGTGAGAGCTTTATTGTCTGTTTTATCCTCCTGCAATTCAGAAAGTTTAGTTCTGAAAACATATGTTGTGGAAAAAGCTTCCTCCATCTATTTCAATCTCTGTATGCCTTTTTAAGTCTTGTGAAATAGGTAATACCATGAATTTTTTGGGGTAAGCAAGATAAGAGAGAGTACGGGGGGGAAATAAACACAAATAAAAGGTGAAAAAATCCTATTGCCTTAGAGATAAGTTAGTCTTTAATATATTCATGGTAATAAGAATCTCCTGTACATGCCTTTTCTCAATTACATATATGCTTTTTATTTGATTATCACTTAGTGCTCTTCTGAGGGGCTCAAAACAAGCCCACCTCTTCCTTGCCTTAAGTCCGAGATATACGTCACTGTTTGAACCAGAGGTTTTCTTCCAAAGTATTGTTCAATAATAGATGTAACACTTTCAAGAGGAAGATATTTTGAGGAGTTTTATTCTTTCTCCCTAAATAGCCATCAATCTTTTGAAGCACGTATTCCCTTCTCTGTCAAGTTCCTCTCACTTTTTCAAGGATTCTTTAAATAGGTCCATTTGTTAGCAGCAGAAATGGCAGGAGAGATTCCTGCAACCCTTTTGCCAGCAAAGTTCTCTCGAGGCTTTGGCCGTGTGATGATTAAGAAGGACTGAGGCTATGAGAGCTCATTCAGCACGGCTCTTAGTCTCCCAAGAACTGTTTCTCTGCTTGGCTAGCCCCTTTACCACCTCTGCCACCTGCCGCTCTTGAGGCATTGGCTAAAGTTGTTCCTCTGTGCCAGGCAGAAGAGCAGTCTGCAGCTGTAGCAGGATTACTTATCCAGTCTTCTGAAAGTCCATTGGAATGGCTGTTGAACAAAGAATAAAGGGGAAGAAAATAGAAATACAGGTAACAGTGGTGTTTGATGCAGGAGAAATATTCCTTTCTTGGGCTGTGTCGTGGCAGTAGGCAGTGAACCTGAGCTGTAGCAGCTGTATGGATCCCCAGTCGTACAAATTGATCCAAGGTAGGTTCAAGGAACCGGTCTTTTCTTCACAGTGTAACTTGTTATTGATTTCTCTCCTTGCACTGTTTTACTCAGCCGGACAAGGAAGACTGGGAAGATTATCTCTGGGATATGTGCCATCCGGTTACCTTGAATGTGCTTAAGAGTTTACAGGGGTATAAATGTGGTGCATTTGGAGGTCAAGGCTGAGACTACACAGCCTTGAGTGCTTACATCTATTGTGCTTCTGATACATTTACTCAAAAAAAGGTGTTTTGGACCATACAGCTAGTAGCATTTCAGAACTGTACAAAAGCTTACAGCCTGAGAAGATGGGATAAAGTAAATGGAGAATACTGTTATTTGGGAATCACAGTCTATTGCTGATACAAATTGCTATTGGTGAGCTTGGGGAAAAAAAAAAAAGAGAGATGTGAGAATGGTAAGGGAATGGATGCTTGGGCAGCAAGACGTGTAACAGAGAAGATATGGCAGTCTGGACAGAGCAAAGGTAAAGCAGTAGAGATGAGAGAAAGGATGTCCAGGGAGGAATGGGCATGCAACAGAGGAAACAACATGCTTGCTACAGCAAATCTGGAAAATTGTGCTTTCCTGGGGCACCTGAAAGTGCACAGACTCTGATTTGAGCATGGAAATGAAAGGAAAGCACAAGAGCTCAAATACTGGATGTATGCAAAAAAAGCAGTCTGGAGATTAATAAAAATCTGAGTAGTGACAGTAAGGAATGTTCCATATCATGAAGATCTCTCACATCAGTAAAGAAGATCTTTATAAATGAATTTGAATAAATCATGTGTGAATAGCATAATTACAGAAAAATTAGATGATCAACAGGACATTGAGTAGACTGCAGAATGTGGAGAGAGAAAGCAGGAAGGTCTAGCAAGAAGGCAATTGCAGTAGTCCAAGCATGAAATCACCAAAGAATAAATGTTTTCCTTACAGGATTTGCTGAGATTACAGCTTTAAGGTAGTATATGTGGCCATGAATTAGATAAAGCAATAAAATCTTACATTCCTTCTGTGAAGATATTTCTTTCTCAGATGTCCCTGCTATTTAACTCTGTAGTGACAGTAAATTCTATCTAGCAATATTTGCTGACATCCCATCTTCATGTGCTTGTCATCTGTTGAGCATTAGGTAGCTGGGCTGAAGGATTGGACTTGGCAGACTGAAGACATGGCCTCTGTATTTGTCAATCAATTTCTTCTTCCTCTTTAAATTCACCGTTCCAGGATAAGAATAGTACAAGAGTGACAGGACTTAGCTTTGGCAAGATTTTCAGCAGTCTGTGTCATCCAGGATTTTGGAAGTTAAATTTAAGAATCAGGCATGAAATTTTCAGTTTTCTTTACTTTGTCAATTAATTGTCTAAGAGGGTTGTATCATGACTGGGCAGATAGTGTTGTGCAGGATTATTGCAAGGTAGGACTGGTTTGCTTCTTGAGGGAAAAGAAATCGCTGTGAAAGGAAAATAGCAGTAAGGCTGAAATGGAAATCTGAAAATGTAGATTCTGAATGGAAGGAAGAAAGTTAAAGACCATGAAGGACAATTTCAGTTGCTAAAACCAGGATCTGTTATGTTCTTGCCTGAGGAAAAAATTGGCATCCAGCAGTCTGTGTGTACAAACCTCTTTCTTGGTAACAGTCACTGCCAAGAGAAAACTAAACTCTCATCTGCTGCAGTAAACTTCTGCAGTCCAACCCTTCTTTCCTTCACCTGATGCCTCCAGAATTAATCTTCCTCTCCTTCTGCACCACACCTTTTGGCTCTTTGTGTGTTGCTTCTGCTGGCTCAGCAGCTCCTCCTCCTCCTCCCACCCTGAGATACGAGAACCAAAACTGTTCCCATCCTGGCAGCTCTCACCTCTGCTACCGTTGGTGCTTGGGGCAAAGAAAGTGCCATTCACTAGAGTTTTGCATTTGTTTATGGTACTGTATAGATGTTTTATTATAATAATGTAGCTGGTAATTTTGCTGAAAGCTCCTGGCATCACATTAGAGTAGGGGTTTTACAGAGATTTTCACATTAAAAAATAACTGTTTCTTTATTTCTGCTTTTGACTTTCTGCTTCACTTCCATCCTTACTTATTTGATAATTTGGGCAGGTTTTCTCACACTGCAAAAGAGATGAATTAAGCTTTAAGTGCAGTATAATGTGGGGCTACCCGGCCTCATATAGCCTTGGTTTAATGCAGGAGATGGAGCATTCTATACACTTAAGAGGGTTTTCAAAAAACCTCTTGGGATCAGTTGCTGTGTTTTGAAGACATTTCTATCAGACTTCTGCTTCTGAGTAATTTTTGAGTACAGGAAAAGAGCAACTATTTATGGGATGCTAAACAAACATCTACTTTAGTACATAGTTCAACATGAACGTCTTTGAAAACAGCATTGAGCTGTCACTGATAGGAGGCTTCACTAAATGATTAGTTACTTGATAGCCAGATTTTGTTAATATTAAATTTTTTCCATCACGTTATTTTATTTCTATTGATGTCTTTTTTTAATCTAAGTGCCTCAATCACATTGCGCACGTTGCCTGAAGTGTGACTGCCGTGCTTTGCCAAGTATTCAGAGCTCCACTGTTACTCACATTTTCTTCAGTCTTAACTAGATTCTCATAGAATTTATTTTATGTCTCTTTTAGACTTCTAAAAAGTTGGGTTGCTTTTTTTTTTTTTAAAGAAAAAAAACCAACACACAAACAATTTTTTCCCAAACTCATATTCTCTTGACATTTTGGTAGCTTTGTTTAATATTCATTCCTTTGCTTTAGCTATTTTTTCCACTAATAAGGTGACAGAACTGGATATAGTGTCCCTGTTAAGCACCAAAATCATAAAGAGTTTACAAGTTTAAGTCCCTGTGACTAGACGTCATTTCATACATAGTCCAAACATCTGCCTTTATGCTGCCATATCCTATTGCAAACTCATCTTCTGTTTGCTAAGCTTAGTTCAGTGTTCTTACTTCCTTATTTATTTCTTCTGTTTAATATTAGTGTTAAATTGTTTTCCTTAGCTATGCATTTTTTGTGCACTGTGAGAAGTTTGGAGTGAAGAAGGTGGGAAAACTGAAAGCAAGCTGCTGCAATATCCATGCCTGAAACTCTTCAGAAATGAATACAGAATGTTGATTCTCATGTTATTACTGCTGAATATTCAAGTGGATCTGTCTACATAGATAAATCAGACTTATACACTATAATATACATGAGCTGTGTGCATGATATGTGCTGCTTCCTGTGTGTAACTGCTGTAAATTATGTCTGATCCTCTATTCTATGTTATGCTTCACCCTGGACAAAATAGTTCTTAATTTTCTAGGAACCTGAGGATTATTTTTTAAGTTAGCTTTGTTTATGTTGTTTCAGTCTTTCATTGACTCTCCTCCAGATCTTGGAAAGCCATTTACTTCTTTTTACCTTTTCTTCTTTTTTTGCCTTTATTTCAAGAAGTCATTCCTCATTAAAGTCAAAGCTGAAAAGCAGATCACAACTTTTCCACATTCATCATTTTGGTCTTCCCTAAGCTGTTTTGTGCTCTTATAACCAATATAGCCAAAAGGTGTAGTGACTGACCACCTCGGAGTGGTGGGATACAGGATGTTGATTAGTATTGAGCTGAGAGATTACTGTTACTGAACTTTCAGATGCATATTTCGTCCCACCATGTTAAACTCTCCTGGCCAACTTACTGTTTGTAAAATAGAAATTATGGAAAAAAAAAGTAATTTTGTGTGTTATTTTTTCTACAGGATTTACAGATAATCAGTACAGATGAAAACCAGGTGTTTGTGGCTGTTCAGGAATGGTACCAGACAGACACATACAACCTGTACCAGTCTGACCCACAAGGTGTTTACTACTCTATCCTGCTGGAGAATGTCCGGAGCACAAAGCAGCCAGAAGAGAATGTCCTGATAGATATTCTGGAGGTAGGTCTTTATCTCTTCCAATGCGTGTAGTCTGTGTGAAGTTTCAATTCTTTTTATTCTGGTTATGAGTATAATTAATTTCACAATAATATGTTTTCGCAGTTATCTTTAATGTAAAAAGACTTATCAATAGTGCATTACTACTAACATGTTTCCCTCTTGCCCCACTAATGTGCTGTGTGCTCTAGGAACTAGGTACTTGGTATGATGTTCCATGGATGTGTAAAACCATAATTAGCTGAGGGTTTTTTTTCAAGCTATTGAACAGTGAAGCTGGCAGCACAATTTATTGTTGAAATATGAAGTTACACAGCTGCCTACATAGAGCTTTTTTCCCTCTATGTGACTGTGATGCACTTCCTGATTTAGAGCAGCATATCTTTTAGGGAGCTGGGTCTTAAAAAGAGATCCTGCGAGCCTTGTGCTCCATGTGTCAGCTCTATCAAGCGAAGAACTGACAAAATTAGATACAGGACAGCAAATCCACTTGCTTTCAGTAGGTATCTTGTGCCAACAGCATTTGGTATGAGACATTCTCCTATAAACAAATGTAGCTTGTATTTTAACATCACTGCACTTGGCAAGGTAAAACAGTGAAGAATATAGTGTTTTGGAAGAGTAACGCAAACTGTTCTCAATTCCGTCTGTTGATGATGACATTTAAATGTAATAAGGTGTACATTTGTTCTTGTTCTGTTCTTTCTTATAGCAAGTAGGACTGGCCATTATCAGAATATTAAAGTAATAGACCTTTGTTCTGCCCCAGTTTGTCCACTGTTACACTCTAATCTGCCTGGTGTTGGTTAAAAAAAAAAAAAAAAAAAAAAAGAAATAAAAATCTTTAAAAGTGCATCAGATTTCTTTGGATACAAATCATATGCTTATATAGGTGTTAAATGGCTGTAATTAGACTCATCTTGGTGAGGGATAATTATAGCAGTTTTTTCTCCTCCATCTTACTTGAGCTTTTTCTTCCAAAATGGCTGTAGTAAAACAAAAAGATTTATCATTATCACCGATTATTTTCTGGACTCTACCACTTTATAAATGAGGATTCCTAATGAGGGAAGCTATACATTGTGTGTGGCCACATTCCCACAAGATGATTTATTGAGAACATTAGTTTGCATCTCTCTGCTCCTGGTCACTTCTGCACAATATGAACGTAAAAGGTGCAATCCCTACTCCCTGTGTCACATGTAGCATGTAATTCACATAAGTTTGTGTAGAGATGCCTCCCCTGGCTGTCCTTTCGTCTGCAAAAGTTATTCACTTAATTCGGTTTCACTGATGATTTCAGAATTTCATAATATTACTGAGAGCATATTTGATAATGCACATGATAGATATTCTAGGTTATTGCGTGTGCTCGATTAGTTTGTAGAGTTGCATTAAAAAGCAAATGTGCACATGATACTTGAAAGCCAATACACATGGAGCCATACAGTTCAATTTTTAAAGCTATGTTTGGAATAGCTTTGCATTATAGGAGAACACTTACATTTGCTTACCATAAGAAAGCCTACAGCTTTCTTTAGATAGCTCATATGATAAACAATTAGTATTTGTCATCTTTACTAGAATGTGATCAAGTACTCATGTACAAGTAATGTATGGGTTATTTACACAGTACAAAGTAGCTAATAAATACAAAGCATATTGCAGTTCTTGAGGATGGGATTTTTTTTTTGGTCTAGTCTAGGTTTTCTCTCTGGGCATTTTAATGCAAGTATCCTCTCTTGGGAAGAGGAATCTTTAGTGTAACACAGAGACAGTCCTCAGTGGCTGACAATTTCTCTTTCCATAACTGCATAATTCTACTTAAAATTCATGCTGTTCTTTGTTATCTTCTGCTGACCTCACTTAATCTTTTACTTGTACACCTGCTATAAAATCTTTTAGAGGTTTCTACCTGTCTGCATTAATTCTCGTTTATGTGCTTTATCTTTTTTGTATCGTATTTCTTTTCATGTTGTATATGTGAAAGGGGAATAATTCCCATATACTTGTTCAAACAAGGAAAGAAAAAGAAAGGAAAAGTATTAAGTGGCTGTCCAAAAGGAGCATGTCCTTGAAATTTGTGACCATGCAAAAGGGGCATGTCCTTGAAATTGTATCAAGTGCCGCCACAGTGAGCCAGTCACAAATTTGATATGGGCATATTTACAAAATAGGCATACTAATGTAATGCTTCTAGATTGGATCTTGCTGTGACTCCTCAGATAGATAGGAGCTACACAAGTCGCAGTACACATTATTCATGCTTTATTTCCCAAACAACAAATCGTATACAGTTACATTTTAATCACAAACTTATATAGCGCTATTTTTTTGTATTTTAGTAACTGCTTCTAATAAATACTGTTGGGCCATCTGAACTGTGCTTCTTGCTACCAATAACAGGGTATTGTTTGGCTGTAAAATAAGTAATGGAACAGTACAGCAATTAATGTGTCACAGATTACATAGTCATAGCAGAAAACCTGTTTAGAAAATAGGTTTGTAAGGTACAAAGTGCTTTTCTGAGAGTACTAGGGAAGCTGACACTGTTTTGGAAAATAGGTGCTCTGAGAAATAATCCAAAAGTCCAAAGAAAATCAAAAGAAAAATACTTTTGAATTTTCTTGTGTTTATCTGTCTTGGATAACATCAGTGCAGCAGTAGTACTGGACTGTTCATCCGAGTAACTGAACACTTCACAGGTTGAAATGTCTTCATTTCCATAGCAACTTATTATTAATGTCACTCTTTTCCCTTCTTGGTAGGAAGATTCTAATCTCCCAATTTTAGATTAGGGAACTAAGTCAAAGAGTAGAAAGTACAGAAGAATTTGGGTGCCTCAACATCACAGTTGAATCCAGAAGGTAGATATGGCATACAGCATTTACAGAAAGAGTCAGGCATATATGTATGTCAGTCACAGGACAAATAACAGAAAATTCTACAGAGGTAGTAAGGTATTTTAAAGCTGCCATTTTTTACACACCATAATTTTATATTAGTTACTGGTTTTTAGGCTAATGCACCACTCCGAACAACATACTTCTGAACTTGCTCAGAAGATAGATGCCTGAAACTTTTGTACAGTTTCAAGCATTTAATTCAAAATACAACTGCTGAAGTGCTGGTTGGCTTTTGTCTCACAGAGCAGCAGTGAGAGAAGTTAACTGAGACACTGGAAGAAATTTTTTCCTAACCTTTCTGTGTCTGATAGATTCAAACACTTATGTTCCACATTCTAGAGAGGAAAGGTTACCATAGTGCTTGGTTAGCTGGGAGTGGGAATTCAGAAAAAATTGAGCCTGACTCCCGTTTGATAATGATATGAAACTATTAAATATTAATTAAACAAGAATGAGAGGAAAAAAAGAGAGGAAACAAAACTATTTGTGATGCAGCACTGTTTTTACTACCCACAAATGAGGAGGGAAACCTCAGTTGCAGTCCCTGATCTAATTGTTGTTTAAATATTTAATATTGTATTCACCGGAAGAAAGACATGCACAGAAATTGAACCCCAAGTCTACACTCCCATGTAAATGTTTGAACTGCCAGGCTCTTCAGTTGTCTTCGTGGCTGTGCCATCTCTGGAAGGTAGAATGTGTAATAAAGCCCTAAGCAAGATGAAAATGCTTTAAAAGTAAAGAAAGCAGGTTCCTCATTTCTTCCCTCCCCTTCTTTTTCTCACCTGCACTGCAAAGTTGGATTTTTATAGTTTGTTTGACTTGGAGGAGATACTGAGCTTCCAGCATCCTGGATAAGCAAGCCAGCCACACATGGGGTTTCAGGAAGAAGTAGCTCGTGAGAGAGCAGGGTATTGAAATGTCTGTACTGAACTTAGTTATCTAAGCTTATATATATTTCCACATTCGAGGCTGTTACCATAGCCAGCAGCACATTTTTATTCTCTGTAGGTTTGGGTAAAGTCCTTAGGAAAAAAACATTTATTTATTAACAATAGTTATCATATCTGTAGTGTGCTGAAAGGGATGCCTTCTCATCAACCTAAATGGAAACTTTTGGAAATGGATGTCAAAGAGAGTTAATAACAGATAGTTAGAAGAAAAGGAAATGCTAAGTATTTAAAATACAAAATAAATAGTAAGTACAGGAATGAATCACATCAGCAAAAGGCAAGTATTTCTGATCATGCAAAGAGCTGGCTATCATGTGCGTTTAGTTGTAATGAATGCTTCAGTTTGGTTACATGTCAACGCATTAGCAGGTTAGAGAGCTGTATTATGTTGGAAATGGTGTATGTGTTGATATACATTCTCAAAAATTCAAGAAGCCTTCTAAATAATTGCAATGGAAATGAGCCCTCTTGAGAAAACCTCCAGATTTAATACAAGATCTCATCTCATGCCATTGGGTGGAATATTAACACAAAATAACTATTATAGCTAGAACTAAACATACTAAGGTGCAATTATTACAACTTTGACACTCTGAGTTGTAATAGTTTTCTAATACAGATTGTTTTGAATTAAAGTAACTAAGTTTGCCCAAGAGAAGAGAGACTCTGTAAACATTTTTTCTTTTCCCCCAGAGGTTAAACAGGTGAAGGGAGGCTAAATGTACAAATTACATGTAATTTTATCAGCCTTCTGACACTGAATGAAATGTATGTCCTTTTCAAATACATATAGAAATAAAAATCTGTAAGTAATTTTCCTCCCCTGCCCCCTTTCTCACTCTATCCTTTTGCCTTCCTTATTTATTTTTTTTAAGGTATCACTCACTTTCCTAGTGGAGACACTACCTGATGTACACAGTTCAGAGCCACAAAAGAGCAGTAATCAGGGATAATCCTTGTTGAAAAAGTGTGTATGTGTCAATCATTAACTCTCTTCCTTGTGTGCTTCAGGTCAGAGGTGTAAAAGGAGTCTTTTTGGCCAACCAGAAAATTGATGGGAAAGTTACAACTCTGATAACCTACAACAAAGGCCGTGACTGGGATTTTCTAAACCCTCCAGACATCGATATGAATGGCAAACCGACAAACTGCAAACCTGTAAGTGGCTCTTTTCACCCTACCCTTTCTCTAAAGTGCACAAGGATTATTTGTATGGTAAGATGTGCAGTAGTTCCAACAGTCTGAAAGATCAGTGCTGTTTACCAGCCAAACAAATCTAGGCAAATCTACTTGTGTTGCAGAAGCAGCGGTTTCACAAGCAGTTAGTCCAGTCATCTCGTAGAGTGAGTTGTTGGTACTCGCCGTTGGCACTGCATTTCGTATTTTAGATCACTTTGACACAAAGAGGACATTTTTTCTTGTGCGTCAACCACACAACCCAGTTCAGAATAATCATGACAACAGTCATATGTGCCTGGAGATAAGGGGCAGATCATCTGGATATAAGAAGCTTATCAACACCTTTTCTCTTTTCATCTCTCATTCACATTTTTGTTTCATCTTAAACCAAGGTAACCCCTTGGCTCCCTATAAAAGGGAACTTGTGACAGTTGCTTGGAAATAAACACCACAGTTAACTGCATGAAAAAGTCTTCTTTTTGTTAGATGATATTCTTTCACTTGTGATGCTACCTATAACATTTTGCTATTTGTGAGGCTGTACTGAAAATCTTGTCTTTTTCTCACCAATTCTCTGCTCGTGGGGACTCCAAGCATTGCTGGGTGAATTAAATGCTTTTAGTCCTGCCACTGCCAAAGCTTTGATCCCTCTGCATATAGCAGAAGTGGATGGCTGGAGCTGCTGGCTTCCTTTTGAAGACTTCAGGACTGTGCTACATGGTTCAAGCCTGCAGGGCCTAATCCAGAATGCTTGGAGATGAGTGGGAAGATTGCAGTGGCAGCAGCTCGCAGGCAGTGCTGACAGCCTGCTGCTGGTCAGATTGCTGTGAGCAATATGACCTCTGAGTGCCACTGCACTGCAAGAAGCAGTAAGTTGCTTAGGAAGGAGAGATGATCGGATGTGTCCAAAAGTCTTTAAGCTATTTTTCATACCTCTATTTTTCTAAGAAAAAAAAAGGAAATTTCAGTACAAACAGTTCGTTTTAATCATCATTTTACCAATTGCCTGGGACCAACAAACATGCAGTACTTGTTGCTGTTGGTTAGCATTTTTAAGCAATTATTCTGTCAAAAGGGGTTTTATACAATAATTTCATCCTGACTTCTTTGAGTTTGGAAATCTTTTTGTTGAGACAGTGGCATGCTACACAGACATCACCAGAGATTCTCATGAGAAAGCTGAGGCTGATATTTCAGATTGGGATTTGGTTCCATGGGAAACAGCTATTCTCTTTCTCTACAAAGACATATGTTTGCTGAAGCTGCTTTCTGAATGGGCTTTCATTATTGTAGGAGCATAACTGTTACCTGTTATTTTTAAAACTTGTTTTCTTCTTCCCTCACAAGCCTGATTGCTACCTTCACCTCCATCTTCGCTGGGCAGACAATCCCTATGTGTCAGGAACAGTCCACACGAAGGACACTGCACCAGGGCTCATAATGGGGGCAGGTAAATGCAAGACATTATTTTTAAAGATCTGAAATGTAGCAGTGGTTCTTTGTAGATCTCGTCTTCCGCTTTATAACAACATTTTGCTACAAACATGGCCAAAATAAGGATTTCTCCGCAGGGTAATCCTTTATGGAATCTTTATGGGATCTTCCAGTGTCTGAAGGGGGCCTACAAGGATGCCAAGAGGGACACTTCATCTGGACCTGTAGTGATAGGACAAGGGGCAATGGGTTCAAATTTAAACGGGCAGTTCAGGTTAGATATAAGGAAAGAAGTTCTTTACTGTGAGGATGGTGAGGCACTGGAACAGGTTGCCCAAATTGTGAATGCTTCATCCCTGGCAGTGTTCAAGGCCAGGCTGGACAGAGCCTTGAGCAACCTGGTCTAGTGGGAGGTGTCCCTGCCCATGGCGGGGGGGTTGGAACTAAATGATCTTAAGGTCTTTTCCAACCTTAACCATTCTATGATTCTATCTCTTGATCAAACAATATAGAAAAGTTGATTGAAGTCTGAGAACTATGTCTTCTAGTGCAGATCTGTAACAGTCACCTGGATACATTATGCTTCTCTGTGCTGTGAAGTATTTGCTTCCCCATTTGTGCAGTGGTGAGGAGTGATGGTGGCTGAAGGACTTGGCCTGCATTGCATTTTAATTTTTCCTCTGGAAATGGGGCCTTCAGCACCATGAATAGCCCAGCAAATCCAATAAACTGATATAAATGGTGGCCAAGCCTTTGTTCTTTAAGCCTAGATGCAGGTAATTTGTCTTCTAATTTTTATTAATTTCTTTCTGGCCAAAGAGATGAAGTGAAAGAGGCAAATGTGCCTCTGTGTTAGGAACAATGCTGGTTGTGGCTTCTCCATTATAACATACATGTGGATGGAGCCATGGTACTGTGAAGTGGCATTTAACAAAAGAAAATCCACTTCAGTGTTGACTACTCATGAAGAAAAATATTCACATAATTCTATTTTACTTTGTACCCTTGTGATTCATCTATTCATTTATTCAATTTTCTGTTTCTTTGTTTCAGAATTATTGAAATGTTAACTGTTCTAAGAGCTTTTTTAAAATTGCAATATTTTATTCTTGTGTGATGGATTACATTTCGGTGAAATACACTCATGTACTGCTTCTCTTTCCATAAAAATACAAGTTTAATCAATAATGGTTTCTGCCTTAGCTTACACTAGTCTCTTATAAATGGCTTACCAAATTGAAGATTTCTTGAGAATATCAAGGTGAGCGTATCTGATGTTTAAAGACAATGACAGCTGCTGTTACTTCAGTGTAACTGAAGATTTCAAGCTTCCCCCTAGTTTACATGGAGTTTAAAGTATTTTACTGGAGGCAGACCTCCCTAGTGCAATGCTGCTATGTTTTTATTGACATGAACAAGACTAAGAATTTATACCATGCCCTTGTTAGATACATTCCTATTAGGTATTTAATTTATGAATTTCAGTATTTAAAAAAACAACTCCAATCTTGGGATTGTTCTTATTACATAAAATTACTGCTATTCTAATGTAGGTTCTTAATTTTAGACTAATCATATTGTATCTGAATACCTTCTACTAGCAAATTAAGCAATGAGGTTTAATTAATTAGCCTATTACTTCTATTTCATTTTTCTCTGTCCTTGCATTATAATCTGATGTGGTAAACTGATATTCATTGAGATGCTGGGTTATTTTCTTTTGGTGGGGTTTGTGGAGGTTTTTTAAGTACACTGTTCTGTGAGATGATACTAAGAGTGGCAGGTCAGAGAAGAGTATTTTGCCCTTAATTTCTTCCTAGAATGGGGTGAGATTTTATCTCTGTGACATACTTTTAGCATGCCGAGTACATGAATTTGTTGACTGCTTTCCTTAACATGAACATGGGAGAGTCTTTTTGATGAAAACCAGACATCATTAAATCTGAACTAATATAGAATCGTAGAATCATAGAATAGTTAGGATTGGAAAGGACCTTAAGATCATCTAGTTCCAACCCCCCTGCCATGAGCAGGGACACCACACACTAAACTATGTCGCCCAAGACTCTGTCCAACCTGGCCTTGAACACCGCCAGAGTTGGAGCATATTTTCAACCTGACTTAATTGTGGAGCAACCTATAATGTGATGGATATGCTAGAAAGGCACCCTCACTCCTACCTGGCTAAAAAGCTGGTAGGGATGGTGTTAAAGTGGGAAAAGCTTGCCCACAAGTAGTGCAGTAAGTCCTTTCTTTGGTAGAATGTCATATAGTTGCAAACACAGCCAAGGGACTTATTTTTGAGTCTTAAAAATCTTGAAAAGCAACTGCACCTCCTTGCTAGCAGATGACCTGAATCAACTAACTCTGATTTTGACTTATGTTTACATTATTTGGATGCTCAGGTCATCTGGATTCAATGCACATGTTAAGTCTTATCTGGCAAACCCGATATCCTTGTAAACTTATACTTATCAGAAATGCTTTACATACAATGAGCTTGAATTTCTTCAGGCCTGATCCTTAATACTGATAATGCTATGCAAATCAGCAGACGTATTAGGTTCTTTGCACAAAGAGAAATCAAATTATTTGGGCCACATCACACTACTGGAATTTTACTGTTATATTTAGGGAGAGCACATCTTGAAATGACTGAATATGACAAAGATCTGTGAATGTCATTTGATCACAGTGTGTCTAGGAACCATCAGTGCTTTGTGCTGTGAAAAGAGGAAATGCATTCTGAGGGTGAACTAGGTACACATTTGCCAAAAGAGAGGGGAAGATATTAATACTCTGGCAAAATACTGTATAGCAACCATATTAATAGGAACATGTACAATTCTGATCATCAATTTTCAGGACCAGTGAGTTAGGTGCTAAGAAGGATGACTTGGCAGTTAATGGAAATAGCAAATATTTACAAGAGGAACCCCATTAGCTGAGGAAAGTGAAGGACAATACAGAATAAGACTTTTTTTTTCCCCTTGAAAGTGTAATCATGGGGTAGAAACAAGTGATGTAAACAAGTGGAAAAGAGCTAGAAACTAGAAATCAGCCTCTAACCATAACAGCCATGAGGTTCACCCTCTCAGTGAAAGCACTCTGACTATCAGTCAAAAAGCAGAAAAACCCTCAACCAACCAAACAACTCTTGAACATGGAGTTTGGCTACTTTATAGGAAGCTTACACAACACAGCTGCTTGTGGAAAACCTAGCCTGTGACTTAAGGATAGTTTTGATACTGTGCTTGAAAATCAGATCACAGAGACAATCGAGTATTGTTTTAATTTAAAAAGTAGTTAAGTGGCTCGCAGCATGAATGCCTGAAGAATATGGGAAAAATGCAATAATAGAATTTTAGCATTGCATCTTTTAAAACTCATATTTACAAATAAAATTTCCACTCTATTAAAGCTGCATAAATAGTTCTGAGGAATGCATATTTTTAGCTTATGTATATATAAATCGTGCAGACAGAATATTAAATTTTATAGCTGCATATTAAAGTGCTCTTTTAAATAACTGTTTTGCTCCCTTTATGAAATGTAATAGGATTTTGCATTTATATTTGATTTTTGTACATTTTAATCTTGGCAACAGCTTCTATTTCTCACAGCATCAGCTATGAAATGTGTGTCAATTGATGTGTAAATTTTTACTATATACTTGTGAAGGACTTTTCTATGAAAAATGTTTAGAGAAGTGTAGATTTTTCAGGTGCTAGTTTACAATAATTGTCTGCTTAGCTTCCAATCCAGATGGCAAATCAAGCAAGCAGTAAATTCTCCACATTCACACAAATTGAGGAAGTGCTGGGAAAGTTCAGTTTACTTTTTGTCATATCAGGCTGAAATATATTGTGATAAATTTCTATCATTTTTCACAAAAGTAACATTCCAGGATGCCACTGTAAAAAAGGGTGAGGGAGCAGGGAGATCATTTCCTAGCGCGTTCTGGAGTGAAGATCCTGCAGCTCCCTTAGGTTTTTCACATGTCAGCATGTTTCCCCATTCTGATGGTGTGAATCACATCTTCAGCTTGCCAGGCAAAAAATGTCTATCCTGGGACATTTAAACACAAATTGGTTGTATGTTTGTTCTACACTGTGACTACAAGTTTACAAATCATGACATTGTAGTTTATTGTGCATTGACTGAAGGGTTACGACTGCGTTAATTACCAGTAATCTAGGCGATCAAATCTCTCTCTTTGGAGTAGATTTCTGCCTGTATGCTAAATTTAAGTGGCTGGAAAAGATTTTCCATATTAGAAGGATTATTGAAGTGTTGCATACGGGGATTATTTCTTCTCACAGTAAGCATGTGTAAAAACATAGGTAAATACAGTGATAAGATGTGCTTAAAACACGTAAATTAATAATAAATTGTACATTGCTCTCCCATATTTGTGTGACCCAGTAGGAAGCAGCCAAAATGCCTGAGCGAAGACAATCTTTTAATTACTCTTGAGATCCGTATGTGGTTTTCATAGCTGCACTACCTTTCAAGAGAGCTCAGCTGGCCGCCAGTCATCACCAAAATACATTGATTTCTTTCCCATCCCTGTGCTACCAACTGCTAAGATGGCATATGCAAAGTTAAAAATAGCTTGGAAGAACTGTGTTGAACAATAATTAATACCCCAGTATTCTAGTTTTTGGGACTGCTGCACTTGCAGGGGTGGAACATGTGATTTTACCCAGTTACTTTTAAATTAGGCTTTATTCAGAACAAGTGAAAAAAAGCAAAAGAGGATTTTATATATCCCAGAGCACAGTTGGAAAAGGTTTATAAGAATGCAAGTAACAGAAATGAAAAACAACTGTGCTTAATCAAAAAGTCCAAAATGCAGGCCAAAATGCTTCCTTTTGTTTCTTAAATTGAAGAAAGAAGGTGTCAGGATAAAACAGCTGCAGAGTCAGACTGACTCAGGCCAGGAATCCATCTAAGCATAGTATCCTGCTTTGTTGGTGACAACAGTCTTTAGGGAAATGTTTAAGAACAACTCAT